AACCCTGCCAGCATTGATTACCCTGGCATCCAGAGAATTGGTTGTGCCGGTCGCCAGAGGATTGTGCAGGTTGGTAGAGGAGGGGAGAAAACCTCTTCACCCCCGTACCAGGCGCCTGATATCTGATGCTACAGAACTGGTTCCTTCCTTCCTCCTTGAAAAAAGCTGCAGAGCCCCACCCCCCTTTGGGTACGAGACTTGTTACATCAACATCAAGGCTGCGGATAAGTATGGCGCCCCCCTATCCTGTGGAGCTGCCTATATCACCCATCCCATCTTGAGGTGCCCCTTATCTGTTGGCCCAGCCTTCCTCAGCAGCCCCCCTTTCAACAGAACTTTCCAAAACAGCTGTACCTGCCCCCCTTCCAATAGTCCTACGCCCTCAGCAAGAACTCTCCGAAACCGCTGTACCTATTCTACCCCATACCATTGCATATCCACTAGTGACAGTTGATGGGGAGGGAACGGGTCCGGGAAATCTGTTGGAGGGCGCAACGGCACACCCGTGTCCACTTTAGTCCATTCCTTGAAGCAGATACCGTAGTCTCTCCTGAGGTTGCCCCATTCCTTGAAGCAGATACGGTAGTCTCTCCTGAAGTTGCCCTGCTCCTGTTCGGGGGGCTGTCCACTTTCCCATCAAATATGGGCAATCCAACCCCCTGTTTCGCTACCCAGCCAGCCCTTGGAGAATTGATTGATTACCAGTTGAATATCTTTCTTCGAGTGATATGTCTGCAACTGATTTTTAACCTTCTGCCATCTCGAGAGGAGTTCTTGCTGCACGTACTGTTTTATTATTTCTGTTACTTATTCTCCTTCCATTCGGACGCCCTCAATGGCGAGTGTGCAGCTTTGCCTGAACGCGGCTGAAGTAGGATAGGCTAGTTAGAGTAGGAAGGGCGCTGGGCGCCATACCGTAGGAGCGACATTGGATAGTGCGTTGGTGTGGCCTGAGGGCTTGAACATTGGCTCATGAGTTCGTTGTATGGCTCTTATGTAGATGGAATCTTGGCGCATTTATGCTCTCTGCTTGGTACATGACTACTTCCACATCTGCGTGATTTCGCACCTTGGTTTTCTGTATATCGTTCTCACTCATGTACCTTGCAGTTGGAATTGACCGGGCAAAAGAAGGCCGTACAGTCCCTTTTTTATATATAATTTTCAGTACTGCCAATCAGAACGAGTCTTTCTATTTCTAATTCCCCCTCCCCTTCTTCACAATTGAAAAAGACAAAGAACAAAAGCAAAATAACATCACATGTTGAAATACAAATCCATCGTGATTCTGCTGGCATAGGATTTCCCTGCACCAACGGCAGGGGGATGTCCCGCAGACGTCCCACATGCAATTATAGCGTGCACTTTACCTTACTCGCGTGGTACAGTTTTCCCCCGAATAGAACGCCGGGTCATTACTGCTGTATCTGGACTGAAAGTTGCCCCAAATACAGGCTAAATGACCGTAAGTTCTATTCGGGGAAAGAAGGTAGGGGAACCGTGTTCCGGGTGTACCCATTCAGCAAGGCAAATTAGTAAATGGGAACTTTCGAGTTATTCAGAACACAGATAAGACGATTTTGCACCTCAGGTTGTGACCTTACTCTCACTGTTACATCTTTCTCTCTCTCCCTGCGACTGCTTCCCTCCTCTGCACTCTTTTTATTGTTTCCTTCTGAATACACCGTCACAACAACTTTCATGGCAGATATATCTTCTTTATCCCTTGAGATATCATCATTGAACTGGCCGGCCCCAGGTTATTCAGAATGATTTTGCTCCGTTCGTATGCTTCCATCGGAAATCGCACTCGTCAGTGGTTCACACAGTTCATGGGTGTACCACCTCAGAAATAACGTTATCATTTCAACAATACCCCCTCATTTCATGGCAGAAAAACCCTTGTCATTGCAACAATACCCCTCCCCGACTGTCTTGGTTCTGAAGATATATTTGTTCGCAAACAATAAAACATGGATATGAATGCAATTCCCCCCCGCCTGCCCCCCCCCCCCCCAGAAAAAGATTCGTCGTATCCAGATGAAACCTCATCAAACACCTCACAAAGAGAGAGAGAGAGAGAGAGAGAGAGAGAGAGAGTCAGAACGACGATGAAGTGCTGGAAGGTCCCCAGCCACATACGATGCACCAATGTAAGATCCGACCTGCCTGAAACCTGAAGTCTTCCATGATATATCTATCGATAACTAGACAAATCCCTCACACCCCTGTCCGACTTCAGTAATAATAGGACGCGTCACCAAAAACATTTTCATCATGTTGGGATATCAAGTTGCGACACTCGAATCGATCGCATGCACCATCTCAACGCTAATGCCGTCTGATACATTTGAGATACTAGTAGTAGTGTGAGTGCGCCGAAAGACCATCTGCACCTATGCGCCCTGATCGTGGTGTAGGCGCACTTTCCGAAAAGGAAAAGGAACCCAAAAGAAAAAAACCAAAAGAAAAAGAAAACTACCTAGGGCGCAGTCGAGGTTTTCAGTTTTAAATGCGTTTCAGTCGCGGTTTCCCGAATTTTACTCCCAAGGCGAGGAAAATCGTGAACGTATCCAACCCAGCCTTACGGTTGGGTGGTGATGCGTTGTATTCGAGGGATGCCTGAAGTGGATTCAGAACTGAGAACGTGACTTCGCCGTAGTTACCCCCCGAACACACACGCAACCCCCATCAACCAAAAACTGTCGGGAGGAAAAGTCATAAAACTCCCAGTGACGAAACTTTTCTATCTCCAAAAAAAAAAAAAAAAAAAAAAAACTTTTCTATCCATTTCCCCCCAAACGAGAAAAAAAGTGCCTCAGGTCNGAGAGAGAGAGAGAGAGAGAGAGAGAGAGAGAGAGAGAGAGAGAGAGAGAGAGAGAGCGATGTTCATCGATTGATCAATCGATCGATAATTTGACCTAGCATGGGTGACCTTTGACAAAAAAAACAAGAAAGCAAAAAACCGTCAGTCCTCTTCCTTCATCAATCAATCAATCAATCAATCAATGAATCAATCAATCAGTCAACCAATCAATCAATCAATCAATCAATCAATCAACCAACCAATCAATTAATCAATCAACCAACTAATCAATCAATCAACCAAATAATCAATTCGATTGATTGATTGATTGATTGATTGATTGATTGATTGATTGATTAAGTGATCGATGGATTGATTAATTTATCAAGTACATTGATTGATCGATCATGGTGGGTGTGGGGATTGAAAAAGCGATGAGAGAGAGAGAGAATGTCACACACACACAAATACACAATCCACATGTCACACACACACAAATACACAATCCACATGTCACACACACGGACACATACGCACATACACACTCCCTCTCACCACTTTCTCATGGCTTTCTCGTCTCTCTCTCTCTCTCTCTCTCTCTCTCTCTCTCTCTCTCTCTCTCTCTCTCTCTCTCTCTCTCTCTCTCTCCAACCCAGCCTTACGGTTGGGTGGTGATGCGTTGTATTCGAGGGATGCCTGAAGTGGATTTAGAACTGAGAACGTGACTTCGCCGTAGTTACCCCCCGAACACACACGCAACCTCCATAATCATGGATCATCACTGCCTACTCTGATAACGGGTGACGTCCACACATAATATGTTCCATCAACCAAAAACTGTCGGGAGGAAAAGTCATAAAACTCCCAGTGACGAAACTTTTCTATCTCCAAAAAAAAAAAAAAAAAAAAAAAAACTTTTCTATCCATTTCCCCCCAAACGAGAAAAAAAGTGCCTCAGGTCCCAAAATCACTTTTGGTGTCATTTTCGAACCCTGGCTGGGCCGCGGTAACGRCCGCTGTGTAAAAACGGCGGGTAAGTGTTTTGCAGGGTGCAAAAATGACGCCGAGAGTGATTTTGGGGTCTGCGGCACCTTTTGCCCCCGTTTYGTGGGGAAATGGATACAAAGTTTTCGTCGCCGGGACGTTTTATGACTTTTCTCAGAACTTTCCATGATGATTTGACRAAATCGAGCTCCCTATCTAAAAATAGATTAGGCCTTCACCAACCTACCTTTTGATCTCGACAGCATCTGCTCTGGATCCTGCTACAACAACTTGCTTTCCAATCGAGATTGGACTGCTCAGAGTCAATCAATGCAAAACACAACAACAAGGTTTTAAGCAAAACACACGAACCGAGGGCGGAGCACAACCAGACCAGCGCTGCGCTGCGCGCCTTCGGTAGTGTGACCTGTGACCCGCCTGACTTGGCTGCACCCATGCACCGTGRTGTCGGTATACGAGTAGTACTTTTCAAAAGGGAAAAGGAAAGAACAAGAAAACAAAAAAGGTATATATACAGGCAACCTCCACATTACATGCRAATACGAAGTTCATGCAGATGCGCCAGAATTAGCCACGAGGCGCCAGGCCCCACTAGTGCGGTAATACTTCTTCTTCTAAGGAATMGACGAACCTGGCCATTTTTCCAGCCACGTTCCATCACCACCTACCACCGTTACGTGAACCTCTAGTACAAACCTACCTACCAATCGATGACTCTGGCACCCGCCACCTTTACGTCATCTCCTACCCCACCGTTACGGTGACACCCACCAGCCTAAAACAGTAAGCACCTACCCCAACTGGACTTCTTCAACTTCCTAATTAAGGAATACACACCGTTGATTACTGCACGTGGCGAGTGCAGAGCAAGTCCTCATCACGTGGCAAGTGCAGAGCAAGTCTTCATCAGGTGGCGAGTGCAGAGMAAGTCTTCATCACGTGGCGAGTGCAGAGCAAGTCTTCATCTCAACATACTCTCACACGCTGAGTATCGCCAGCATTGTCGCCGCATCATCCCCGTCATCACCATCTCCATCATCGACATCATCGTCATCATCATCGTCATCATGTCCATCATGGACACCATCATCATCATCATCATCATCATCATCGTCATTATTAACATCGTTATTCATCATTACCATTTCCTCCTGTTCTTACTCTTCCTCATCGGTCTTCTACGATAGAAACTCGCCAATCCATAGCCACGTGCTCGTCAGATCGTTGTCATCACCATAAGGATCGCCARCATTGTCACCACATCATCTCCGTCATCACCATCTCCATCATCATCACCATCATCATCATCTCGATCATTGACACCATCATCATCATCATCTCAATCATCGACACCGTCATTACAATCATCATCATCATCATCATCATCATAACAGACATCATTATCCTCATCGTTATCATTTCCTCTTGTTCTTTCTCTTCCGCATCGGTCTTGTCCGATGGAGACTCGCCAATCCATAGCCACGTGGTCGTCAGTTGGCTGTCCCCATCATGATAACGATTCTCGCACCCACCACTCTTCCATCGCCACCTTCCCCAGCATTAGGTTAACACCCTCCCCCAGCATTAAGTTAACACCACCCTGCCACCACCGTTTAWGCCTTACAACTGAGGTTCCTGCAACTGGTTTTCGTCAAAACAGCCTACGATCGACATATGGAGATCCCTCCGACAGGCCTGCAAAGCTTCCACCGCCTGCCGCGTCAGAGGGCGGCAGTACAGCAGGCTTAAAGAGCGCAAGCTCTTGCATCCTTTTCCAATGACATCAAGGCCAGCATCCRTCACGTGAGCCCCTCCCAACCATAGGACTTCTAATTGCGGAAAGTGTTCCACAATCACTCTTATGTTCTCCACCCCAAGGACTTCGAAGGAATYAATGCCGTAGCCCAGTTCTTCGCGGAAGATAAGCTGCAGACAGACTAAGTTTGGAAAGCCTGACGCGAGAATCCTAACGCATTCGGATAACCTTGCACAAATCGAGTAATCCATGAAGCCCAGTGAAAGCGCTCGAACCCGAGAACAGCCCTCAACAAACACTTTGAAYGCACAGGTAGACAGTTCGAGACCCGTGTCGCAAGGACTGAGAGTTCCAAAAGTTTGAAGACGGACCGATTYGAGAAGCGGACAATTCTTCCCGACAAACTCCAGGAGTGAGTCGGGGCAGTAATCTATGGAGAGATGTCTCACCTGACCTAACGAACGCAGAATCACAGCCTTTGAGATGGAGAGACAGAGCTTATCGACTCCAACCAGGAGCACATCGACTCCAAGCTCGCGCTCTTCGACAGCTAAGAATTCCAAATCCGCCTCGGACGGCTCCTGATCCTCATCGCGCGTTTCGTCATTCGAAAACGAAACAGGCACCTCGTCGTACAAAGCCCGCCGCCGTCGATTCCGTCGTTCCTCAAAGAGTTCCTCAAACGCTTTCCGTCGTTCCTCAAAGAGTTCCCCGTGCAGTTCAGCCAGGTCGGCGAGCATCCAGCAGGCAGGATGTGAAGATGCTCGCCGCCAATTCCAGCACACGGTCCCCACACGGAACTTATCTCGAACGGGGAGCAGGTTGAAGATGAAGGCAAGCACGTCAATCGGCATATTGGACCAGTCGGCGTTAGCGTCAACTAACCCACGGTCCATATCCTCCACGGGCTTGCAAGGCTCGCCATCTCCAGCCTCAGCCTCAGAACCCCTCCTCGTCGCCATGGAAGCTTCCCTTGGATGGGCCTTACCTTTYCCCCCCACTTCTATGTCACCTAAACCATGCTCAATCTCATCCACGTGCTTGCAAGGTTCGCCCTTCCCACTGTCCCCAGCCTCAGCCTCAGAAACCCACCTGTTCGCCATGGAAGCTTCCCTAAGATGGCCCTTCCCTTACCCCCCCACTTCTCTCTCTCTCTCTCTCTCTCTCTCTCTCTCTCTCTC